AGGGTGCCTGATCGTCAAGATCCCCGAGCCTCTGACATTTGCCAACACCGGCAACCTGAAGACCCGTCTGCGTCGCCTCGAGGACCATGGTACGGAGAACGCGCACCCTGCTCTACCGCGCGTTCGCCGTGCAGAACACAACAAGAACGTCATCTTTGATGTTCACGGTGTCACATCGCTCGATGGTGCTGGCGCCCAGGTCCTGGCTGAGATTGTAGAGTCTTACAGGAAGCGGGATGTCAGAGTCTTTTTCTGCAGGGTGCCGCAAGAATCCAGTCCCGTCTACCAGCTATTCGACAAGAGCGGTATTATCGAGATGTGTGGAGGTCCAAGACACTTTGTCCAGAGTGTCGAGGAGGCGCTTCGCATGACCGAACTGGAGCGACTCACGGAAGAATGGGCAAGCTCAGCGGAGAGCTCCCGGGCTGTCTCAAGCAGAGCTTGAGTCACTGCAACGACGCATGTAACCTTTTGGCCTATTCGCAACGAACAAGAGTTCGCGAGCATTGCATTACGGAATTGGCGTGTATGAGCGTTTTACTGCGATTAGACTTCTTGTATCTTCCTTTCAGCTTTGGGCAACGAACTGCAGTCTCGGTATCAATATGAAAAGCATGATCATTTTCCGGTTTCCCGTGTCAGAACCTCTGACTGTTTGGAAGTCTGCCAGGCGTCCAGCAACTATGCCGAGCGACGACCCGGTCGCGAACATCGGAGCTAGATCTGCCCCCAGAGCGTCGGCCGCGTATGGTATCCTGCAACCGGTGTCTAGCCCCAACGCCTATTTTCTGGTTCCCATTTCCAATCACATTTGAGATGATGCAATTGTTAGATGCGCTCTTATGCAGGGCTGCTTCAATCTCGCAGTCACAATCAATGCTGTCGTGACTAAGATTCGAGAATGCCGTGTTCAGAGATCCCCAGATGCGGGGATAAGCCGGCGGACGCGCTACCCTTGGGACAGCACCGCGTCTGCACTCCACTTTGGAACATCCTCACGACCCAACACCGGTACGCATTATGAGCTAGAACCAGCTCGCGAGACCAACTTCCACAACCAGCATCAACAATCAGTGTCGTATCAAGTGCGAGCCCGCAGCCCTGACTTATCTCCAATAGTCCGCGGATGTCTGAGTGCAGCGCATTCAGACCGTTGGCGCCCCAAGCCTTTGACGTCGACCAAGCTTTTCGGCGTCTTTCAACAAAGCTTCGCTGTGCCGTCTTTTCCAAGCCAAGCGACGCTTATGACCTCTTGACCACTCTTAGCACGCAGTAGCCCCTGTCGTGTGCTCCATCCCATGTCGCCTGCTAGCCAACTCTGGTCTATCGTACCGCCCTCCGCGGGGGTGCCATTGGATGGCAGGTCAACATGCGGGGTTGCGGGGACGTCATGAGGATGTCGAAGATGCATGCTCGGGTCGCACTGGTTATCTGTGATATCGTTTCCGGAAGGTTCAACAATGATCGCGTGCATGTCTAGTGGGATTAAAGAAAGCGTCGCGCCCACGGTGTCTTATAAGCTCTTGTAAGCTCAACAGTCTGTCGATCTCGTTCGGAGAAAGAAGACTGCACTTCCCCTTACGCTTCGCGTTCTGAAGTTGCCCGCGGGTTGTCCTCGATTCATAATGGCGGACGAGAAATACGATACTACCGAGCAGCGCGAGTTCGCGCCACCGGCCGCAAAGATGTCGGCTGGTCGCTACATGGCAACGCGCATCCCCACTCTCAAGCCTGCCCACGACAAGGTCGCCAACCCCATCGCGCTCCTGCGTATGCTGAATCTCCAGCAATGGCTCTTCTTCCTCGTCGCTTTTGTCGCCTGGACCTGGGACGCGTTCGACTTCTTCACCGTCTCCCTTACCGTGGAAAATCTTGCCGAAACCTTCGGTAAAACCAAGGCGGATATCACATGGGGTATTACATTGGTTCTCATGCTGCGAAGTGTGGGTAGTATCATCTTCGGTCTGGCGGCTGATCGGTACGGAAGAAAGTGGCCTTTCATCATCAACAACCTACTCTTCATTGTGTTGGAGCTAGGCACAGGTTTCTGCTCGACCTACAACGAGTTCTTGGGAGTGAGGGCTTTGTTCGGTATCGCCATGGGTGGACTGTACGGAAATGCTGCTGCCACTGGTAAGTCTTCCTTTCCACCCCCGCATCATGCAGATAGCTGACACTGTCACAGCCCTTGAAGACTGCCCCGAGCAGGCCCGTGGTATCATCTCCGGTATGCTACAACAAGGCTACGCTTTCGGTTACCTACTAGCCACCGTCTTTGCACGCGCGTTCGTCAACACTGTCGGTCACGAATGGCGACCGCTGTTCTGGTTTGGTGCAGGCCCACCAGTCCTGTTCATCATCTTCCGTCTCTGCCTCCCAGAAACGAACGCTTACCTCGAGCGTAAGCGAATACGCGAAGAACAACCCAACGCCGCCAAGGTTTTTGCTCAGGAAGGCAAGGTTGCGTTAAAGCGTCACTGGCTCTTGTTGGTGTATCTTGTCTTGCTCATGGCGGGCTTCAACTTCATGTCGCACGGAAGCCAAGACCTATACCCGACCATGCTGAGTAACCAGTACAACTTCTCCTCCAATCAGGTCACAGTCACACAAGTCGTCGCCAACCTTGGCGCCATGACCGGTGGTACCGTCGTCGGCTATTGCTCATCCATTTTCGGTCGCCGTATCAGCATCGTCGTCATGTGCGTTATCGGCGGCGCTCTACTCTATCCCTACACGTTCGTCTCCACCAACGCAGTCATCGCCGCAGCTTTCTTCCAACAGTTCTGCGTCCAGGGTGCATGGGGTGTCATCCCAATCCACCTTATGGAGCTCTCACCAGGATCATTCCGCACCTTTGTCGTCGGTACATCTTATCAACTCGGAAACCTTGCTTCTTCTGCCTCATCAACTATCGAAGCGACTATTGGCGAGAGGTTTCCACTTCCACCGAAAGGCAAGACAACCCGTTACAAGTACGGGCTGGTGATCTGCATTTTCATGGGATGCGTGTATGCATACGTTATCCTTCTCACAGCTCTGGGACCAGAGTATCGAGGTAGAAGCTTCGATGTGGCTGCCGACGAGGATATGAATGTTGTGACTGGTGCAGATGATGGCAAGTACGGTGCGAGACACGATAGTGAGGACGCGGAGGCGAGAGAGCGTGTATAGAAGTCGCGTACCGAGGGACACTTACCATGTAGCTATCTCTAGTCTTTCCCATAGAGCAAAAATAGTACATGATGCTTCTAGACTTTATCTCCAGCATGCAAATGTTGAGCTCTCACCGTGAGGGTTGGCGGTGTTCGACATCCGGAGTTGGCAACCGCCTTGTCTTTGAGGCTGTGTCTACCCGATGTGGAGAGACAGGCCAGAAATCTGTACTCGTGTGATCGCATCTCGTAAATTGTATATTGCCTGATCCATGGCGTTGACGTAGGCAATTTAGACATTCCAAGCAAGCTCGGTGCTGCCATTGGCCACAATTAAAATCGGCAGCGGCATCCCTCGCTAGCGTTGTACGACTGGTAGCCGCCTTCCACCCCAAATAGATTGTCTTCATCACTCGTAATCTATGCAACACTCACATCGTCTTGTACACCTTCGCTTACAACCAATTCGCGCTCAAGGTTCGGGTCTTTCGCGATGGGTACGGCTCTTTCGACCTTATTGCCGGTGGGTGTCTCGTAACGAATGCGCCAGCCTGGGGCAAGAGACAAAGTATATATGTCGCTCGGGAGATGTTGATATGCCGGCACCAACTGCATATTCATTGCATCTCATCTCCAGGTTCAGCCAAAGATCCCCGCCAAGATGAAGTCTTCCGTTATTTTGCTAGCAGCTACTGCGTCTGTCGCCAGCGCTCACTGTACGTCCCGATGCACTGCACACCACCCAAGAAAGCAAGCTGACCTCTCAAAGACACACTTCCAAGCATCAACGGTGCCGCAGCCTGGACTAGCGTCCGTCAAGCCAAGAACTGGCAGGACAATGGATTCGTCGGCAACGTGCAAAGCAACGACATCCGCTGCAACCAACTCAGGGCAGGTACAGCGACTACTACTGTTGCTGCTGGCTCGAACGTAAAGGTCAGCGTCAACCCGAACGCTTATCACCCCGGTCCCTTCCAGTCGTACCTTGCCAAAGTACCAGAGGGCGCAGACATCAACACCTGGGACCCAACCGGCGCCGTCTGGTTCCGAATCTACGCCGAACAGCCCAAGTTCGGTTCCCAGTTGACCTGGCTGAGTATGTTTCTCACAACGCTCTTACCCTGCTAGCATATACTAACATTTTTTCGCGCAGGCGCTGCCACCTACGACATCAAAATCCCTCAGTGCATTGCGCCTGGAAAGTATCTGATGCGCAACGAGCACATCGCCATTCACACTGCTCAGAGTGTCGGTGGAGCCCAGTTTTATCTGTCTTGCGCACAAATTGAGGTTACTGGCGGCGGCAGCAAGGCGCCATCGAACCTTGTCGCGTTCCCTGGCGCGTACAAGGCTACCGACCCGGGTATCCAGATCAACATCAACTACCCTATCCCTACAAGCTACACCAACCCCGGCCCGCCTACCTTCACATGCTAGATGCAAAGGGTTTGCGCTAGAGGCTTATATGCTTGCGTGGAGCAAAGCTTGAAAGCTACGTCGCTGTAGATGTAAATAGGTGTTTCATAGACAAGATCAGTTTGCGAACATTACAAGGTGCATAGAGTTCACCTTTTGATGAACCAAGGAGACTTTCACTGTGGCAAAACGGCTTACACAGATGAGATACTGATGTGTTGACTTCTGTCTTTCCATTCTCAATACCCTTGAAATTGACCACCAAGATCAACTTACTACTGAAGTAACAGAGTCGTGGGTACCTCCTAGCATGACACCAACCGACTGTTCATCTTCGACTCCGATCGAGAGTCTCGCTTACACCGGTACCTCCAAATCCAACCATACACCTAATCTACGCTCCATCCGAGAGGCCAAAACTTCCCATCCACCTCAAATAGCATGATAGCGCTCAGAAAGCTTCTCTGCATCATACATCTTCGCAGTCGCCCTCTCCAACTCATCCGCGACATACTTCCAAAAGTTGCGCTCACACTTCGCCACCGCATCCATAAGCTGCTCCGTCATCTGCGGCGTCTCCAGATCATTCTCGTGTACCTCTGAGGGAACGGCATGGCGCAAGTTGTCCTTGAGCTCCGTCGCGTTGTTGAAGTCCTTGATGCGCTTCTTGCCCGCCTTGCTAACAACACCTGTTCCTTCGGCGTTGGAGTACTGGTTTGGGTTGCGCAGGTGCATGTAGTCCTTTGGGTCGAAGCCGATCTCGCCGACGGAGGTGGCAATGCGGGGCGCGTTGCGGACGAAGCGGCTGTAGGCTGCGGCGTCGGTGAAGGTTGCCGGTTCGCCTTTGGAGAGGCGCTCTTTGTTGAGGTGGCTGGCGATTTCGCTCCAGAGGAGCTTTTGATCTTGGCGGAGGGTCTTGATGAGGATGTTCTCGGGGTCCTCTTCGACGCTGGGGCGGGTGCTTGTCTTCTTGTCCTGAGGCATGAGTACGGAGATGTTGTTCTCGACCTCCGCCTTGGTGGCTTTGGCGCGCTTGAGTCCGTCCATGACGCGATAGTTGTATGGGCCTTGGGTTCTCAGGCGATTGAGAAATCTACTTTCTTGGGCAGGAAAGGCGTGGTCAGAACCTTCTCCGTCTTCAGGTTCAAACAATGGAGATTCCGCTCGGTTACTGGTTGGCGCGACTGAGGGATGGAGCGTTTGGGAAGAAGGGGATTGATAGCTGCCTGAGAAGTATAAGTACTAATCAGTATGACTGTGTCTTACTAGACTCACTTGGGCTCTCGGTGGCGGTACTCAGGTGAGAGAGTGGGCCACTGGCGCTCGTGATCTTTTTGCCCCGTGCAGTCTTGATCGTTCCTATCTTCACTCCGTCCTTTTTGAATCGCTTCTTACCGCTGCGAAACATCGTGTCTTCCCCAGCAGCGTCAAAGAAGAACACATCATCCCCCCTTTCTTCGCCCGAGAAGCCGATGTCCGGTATAATGACTTGGTCATCTTCAGCCATATCGCTCGCGCTGGCAGGAGACGCTGACAGCCTGAGAAAGTGAGCTTGTTATCATCGGCTCTAGAAGACTTGATTACGCCCAATGCTATGCTCAACGCAAAGGGCTACGATGGACCATTAGACGGCAACAGTGATCGTGATCATGCGCGCTGCCGGCGACGATAGCCTAAACACCTTCAAAATAACTTACTGAGTACTTTCTTCAACAAGGTCCATGCTGTGTTTGATATTGAACAACAAATGAACTTGCGTTCTTTCGTACGGTATAGAATACTGGAGACAGTGAGGAAGAAAGCAACAGGGCTAATGTATTTAGTACTGCATTGAGTCTCACGGAAATACCTGATGTAAACTGGATGCAATACTGTAGCCTAAGGCACGTACCTCGCGCGTCGCAAACGGTGTGCGAGAAATGCCTGGAACGCGAGGGGCCCCCAGTGAATATGGCCATGATCATCACGCCATGAAGTAGCGGGGTCTCTTACAAGCTAAGCGCCTGTAGTCAATGATAGGCCAGGAGAAGAGCACGCTTGGAAAAGAATTATCAAGTCTCGTGTGCAAACGCTTAGTGTTTGCAATCAGGATCGTGTTGGTGCGTCTAGATCTAAATTCCGGATTGAGACTCAGCATATTGCGAAAGTCCCATAGTGCGGAAAAAGCCGAAGAGACCTCTGCGTGATATGCCAAGGTGAGCAGAGTGAGCAGAACCATGTCGGAAAAGATCAGGAGATAGCTCATCGAGTATGTGTCGTGTTTCAAAACTGTGAATTCAGGTCGTAGCGTTGCGGATAAGATATGTTATAATTTACACTATGTGTTGCACAGCGTTTCGTGCATTACAAGGCCTCGATGCGGCCAGACGAGTCGTGAAGTGGTCGTATGGAATTTGAGATCAGTTGAGTACCTTCCTACTTGTGTATCGCGCAGAAGACTAAAGCTTCGGCCCTGTTCAATTCACCTTGCGCAGTGTCGGTTGGTGATTCCGTCTTTCTCGTCTCACGAGTATCTTTTGACTGCTTAGGAGGAAGCAGAGATCGAAGAAGAGACTTGGTAGATGCAATCGTTGACCCTGACTTTGTTGATTCGGCGTCCAATTCCAATTGTTTGCAGGAGTCAGGTCTGTCGGTGGCCGACATGGTTTAAGAGCTTTCGTGGAAGAGCTTGCTTTCGATGTGTAGATGAACTCTGGATGACGGTGGCAACGGGTCGTATGTGGACGCTTGCTTGTTGTTAAATAGATACGTAGGGGCGCTTGCTTGGTCTCACACATCTTGCTTCATCGCTTAAAATGAAACGCAACCTATAGTAGTATTATCATCAACCCATCGCTAAGTCAATACCCTATACAGCATACCTAGGTAGATACACGGTTTGCGAGAGTCGACTTGTGAGCTCTCATCAGCAAGCCGACCAAACGGTGAGTTTGTGCGCACGACAATCTTTGTGAGTACGCGAAGAGACATACAGCTCTACAGCCGAAGGGTGCAATACTCGTTGTTATTGCAAAGATTCATGGCCAGAAGCGTGTGCGTGTCGAATGTTGATGTAGTAATGACGAAAGGGGTCTAGTGCCTTCCGTATTGGCCGCACGCCCCGCGTCTGGGAAGTTTGTCAATCATCACACGTCATGCGCGCACGCGTGTCCGGACCCCAACACGCGCACTGGTAGAGCTCACAGTCACCATCTTCACGCCTGATCATACGATGCCGATCTTGATGACGATTTCGGCAGATCTAGGTCACACAATCGCGCGCCCGCCAACACATCCTCGCGACTTTGACAAACGCACAATAATTCATCGCCATCACATGTCAACACGATTGTGGACTCTTTACTCAACAAAAGAGCTCATTCTTGTATTTACAGCTAACTTGAGAACTCACTACCTACGCATTCCAACGGCGCATGGTGGAGTTTGAACCAGCGAATGTGGATCCAATCTCACCCCACTTGATCTGGCTGAAGGTGACTGTAGGTGCCTTCTCAATCTGTTGGATCGCCTTAGGGAAGCCTTCAGTCGCATTGCATGGACCGGATCCGGACTCTGAGCCGTCAAGCCACTGCATGGCACCGCTCTCATCCCACCAGATGCTCAGCGCGAGAACCATACCGCGGGCCAGAGCATCACCCATGCCCTTGTGGCCACCAAGCTTGCTGTACATCTCAGCGCCAGCTTGAGCACTGCAGAACTCCTGGTCCATAATGATCTCCTTCCTGGCGTTCTCAATAACGACGCCATCCTGGACGTACTTGCGGACAATGGCCTGGAGGACGCCGTCCTTGGCAGGGAACTGGGTGATGACGGTGAATGGCTTCGTGGTGTCGACTTTGAGGCCAGTACCGTAGTAGTCGGGAGAGCTTCGGTGCTTGTAGGGGTTGTCTCCGCATCCGTTCTTGTCGCACAATCCAGCTTTGCCGCACTCATCGCCTGTGCAGCCAAAGAGGCCATCCGTGCTGCAGGTGTGAGGCGCGATCTGGTTGGAGCGAGCGTTTGCCTCCCAGATATCCATTTCGTTGCAGCAAACACCCTGACCCTTGACGTTTCCCTGGAACGAGTAAGCATGAGTACTGAGAGAGAAGACAGCTTGTACTTACTACACCGTTGATCCACGGTGTGACGAAGCACTGAGCATCACAGTATCCCGTGCCATAGGCGGCACCACCTGGGTTCAGTTGAGAACGTCCACCATCAGCCTCCATCTCGCTGAGGTAAAGGGCGCCATTCATGCCGCATGGCAGCTTCGATACGTCGACGTCGAAAGCCAGCTCGTTACCGGTCAGTTGAAGCATCTCGTAGTTCTCCTCGTCCTCGGCCAAGAGGTAGACCCTAGGGCTAGCTTGGCCGCCACTGGGGTTGAACATGTCCAGACGAAGCTCGCCTCCGGTAGTGTAGACACCCATTGTGGAATAGTCTTCGATGCCTTCCATGATGCAGTTCTTCGCACATGTTTCCTCATCAGGGCACGCAACCGGATCGGCTGCACTACCCCAGTTTCCGCAGCCGAGTGTTGAGTTACCCTTTTGATGGACATTATGGGAAGCTGAGTCGGTGACAATAGCGGTGCTCTGCTCTTTGCATCCTCCCGCTTTGGTGCACTTCCAGGTGGTGAGCTTGGGGTGCACTTCTGGGGTGTTGCCTGGCGTTTGGGCAGCAGCAAGACCTAGAAGGGTCGCCGCGATAAGGGTGTAAGGAGCCATGGTATAACGATTGACTAGGCGTGAACTTGAAAGGAAGGACTTGCAGGGCTTGGAGAGGTGCGAACCGTGAGTCTCTTTATAGCTGCTTTGACAGCGAGATGAAGCCGCGGGCTGTTCTTGTACTAATGGACTGCATGCATGTATCAATTTCAACATATTACAGGATATAAGAGCCGCAATGTCTTGGAGCCTGCATTTAGTAAACATCGTCAATGGACCTGGCGGCTGTTGCTGCCATTGGCCGCAAGCTCTGCCTCGGCCCTATTGTCAAGGTCGCATTTGTTTCGAACCCTCGCCGCAAGATCTTGACAGCGCAAAACGGTCCGGAAGAACATGCAGAGAACCTTCGACAATCTATTTAGGAGATTGCTATTTGCTCAAATATATTGCACTTGATCACGGGGCCCCAGATGGAGGTTTCATGTGGGGCATTTACCCGGTGTTTGCTCGGCGCAAAGAGAGCTTGACTTATACAAGCAGGTGCCCGCCCCTTTGCCGTGCTTCTCACAACCAAAAGCCCACCGGGAGCCCGGTTTTTAGTCCGCAGTCGTAGTAGGTCAATACAAGCGTCGAACAAAAGCAATGTGCGGCGGCAAGAAAGAACCAGGTTACCGGGTGAGCAGTCCGACACTCCTAGCATCCGACGCGATGAGACTCCCTCTCGCTGCAATGTGTCATTTCAATGCGCATCTTTTCGCGTGCGCTCGTCGCAGTAAGTTCCAAGTACCAAGTGCTCGGCTCAAGCTTCTTCTATTCTACCTCGCGTTGTACAGAACGGATCGCTGGCTATGGCTATACTTCTCCGGCACCATCTTCCATCAGTCTTCTTCTACGACCATCTTTGACTTCTAGTACTCGTCGCACGGCTCCTGAAGATAGTCAGTCTTTACATTCATTGATGAACGGTCTTGATGCCGTCGTCCACGACGATCAGTTTATCGCTGGCCTTGCCGCAGCCATGGAGCAACGAATGACTCGGTCGCGGCTGCTCATTCATCTTCGTCGATCTGATGTTTCGTGAGCCCGAAACATCCCTACGGAACCTTGAGCAGCCTTCACCCCACTCTTGCCATGGCAGCTATCATGGCAGCTATCATGGCAGCTATCATGGCAGCTATCATGGCAGCTATCATGGCAGCTATCATGGCAGCTATCATGGCAGCTATCATGGCAGCTATCATGGCAGCTGTCATATCTTCTATCAGGCACACCATACCCAGCTCTTTCATTACTCCTACGACATCGGTCAGATTCTTCCGACTCTCTTGGAAAGTGGATTCACAAGACAACCGTTGTCAATGCGTCTGGCTGACAGCGCATTCAAACGGAGCTTTCGTCCCGCCTGGGACGACGTAAGCTTGGTGTCTGCTCGCGGTGAGTAGGACAAGATGTGAGCGCGCTCATCAATTTCTTCTCGAACAAGCACCTCGGCAGTGGTCGGATATGAGCAGCCTCCGGAAGTCGGCTAGGAAGTTGGGGTATGTTTGGCTGCCAACTTTTGACAAGTAAACATTGTCGCGGAGTCTAGCCCAAGTGTGTGGCTGTCGTTGCCCTGTTGGGTCAGTCCCGCTATCGGGATTTTAGTCATGTGGGCCACCTCAACTGGTGAAACTCACAAGGAGCAGCCCTGCGCCGGAGTAGTGCCGACGGAAGCTCTAACACCCTTTGCGTTGCCATTTCCGCATGCCAAATCCAGGCACCTTGGCTAAGGCCCCTAGTTCTCCGCATTTGCCAACGTTGACGGAATTGCCGTCCCGGTATCGATTGTGGCGCCACCATCTCCAGATGGTCCAACAGGATTGAACGGCGAGACACCATAGTTTCGACGCGAACCTCGAGCAAGAAAGCAAAGTCATCAACATTGCTTATGACAAAAGCAGTCTTTACAGCATCTGAGTAGTCTATCTAGTACATCTCCCAGGAACGGTCTCACTTCGGCCGTATTGGCTTAGTGCAGAAGCCGTGAACTGATCCGGCCTTCTTGTTTTTTCGAAAACGGACAAGGAACGCTAGGATGTCATACGCTCGCGACATAGATCAGGCATTCCATTCTGCAAAGCCTACGAGTCGTTTGTAAGCCATGTGGCAAGGTCGGGTTGAAGAAAAGTCAGCACCAGGTGCCACGGTATGAGTTTTCTTCGTTTTTCGTTGGCTGTCACGACTCGCTTGGGTTAGCCAGCCAATGAGAGCGTACAACTCGCCCTGCGCACACCATCAGCAATGATGAGGACAATATCTGGAATTTGGAATGAGTTCAGCAGTCATGAGGACGAAAACCACCTACAAGCTGAAGGCCACTATCGGGGAGCGGGGAACGTTCGTAGGGCACAAAGATGGTGGTTCGGCACGGCACGGGGGCGCTACCTACCCTATCCTCCGTCCTCATAGAGTTTGCTCTCAACGTCTGGTTTGGACGGCGCCGGATAGCACCCTCAGGAAAACCTCACACGTACGAACGCGCAATTGCGCACAAAGTTGCGGCAAGGCCGGCCAGAGAGCTGTCAGACTCTTATGGAACGGCTGCTGAACCCTGGAGACCCGCACAAGACCGGCACTTCGATGCCTGTACATATTGTAAGGCCTTTGCTCTTTCAAGCCAAAAGCAGTTTGACATCCAGTATGATCGCCCTCTCTCCTTTCGCCCGTTCAGGCAAAGTGGGCGTCTTCGGAGTTCCTTCCTCGCCATGGGATTGTGCACCTCGACGCGGTGACGTCCACGCTTGCATGATTCCGTGCACACATTTGACTCGCTAAATGCTCCTCCCGACTCAAGCTCCCGCTGCACGCCTCACCATTGGAACCACAAAATTGACAAAAGCATCATGAGGCTTTCGTCGGCGGGGATTTAGTGAAAGGCTAGAGACAGATCCGTTTGCTTTTGGCAATTAAGTGGCCTCGTGTATGGCCGAGCAAACGACTCGCACTCCCCTTTCTCGCGTGGCAACGCTTAGCGAAGCACGTTGCCGATCTTCCTGCCTCGCCATAATGGATCTGCCCCACAATGAACCTGGCTCGAACAGTATCCTGCGTCGACTACCGTCGCAAGGATACCCAGAGCAGCGTCGGTGGTCTTGCTAACAGTATTCTAGCGTTCACAATGCCAGGAGACACACGGCTCGGAGAAAGTGTTGAGACGTCTGTTCGCGCGATCAGCGACGAGGGGGAGGCCGAACTTGTCGAAATACAATATGCTGCAAGGTCGTACTCGAATCGCGGTTTTCCAGACTCATCAATCCTCTCCCTCGCCTACATAACCTTATTTTGACGATTCTCCCGACACACCACCGAGTATGGAGGACCGAAGTGGTTCGGTGCTGGCTATAGCCCTCACCTTCTTGATCTTAACATATATCACCGTTGGCCTTCGTTGCTATGTCAGGTAAGAGATCTACTTGCTATCTTCATTGTTTTTGGACGCGTCGCTGATAAGAATGTAGGATCTTCATGGTGAAGGGATTCGGCATTGACGACTACTGCATGGTCGTCACACTTTGCTTTTTCACCGGCTATCTCGTGTCTCAAATCGGCGGTGCTCTCCACGGAACAGGTGTTCGCCGCGAGAAACTCACCGACGAACAAGCGCAAACGGCCCTTCACTTCTGGTTCTTCTGCGAAATATTCTACACATTATCGACATGCATGCTCAAGATCGCCGTCGGGTTCTTCTTGCTGCGGATTACCGTCGTGCAGATGCACATCTGGCTCATCCGGTTCATTATGGTAGTTTCTGCCATCGTGGGAGTCGCATACACATCGGTCGTCATCTTCCAGTGCAAGCCGGTCTCGTTCTGGTGGGACCTGAACCCTAATCACCATGGCACTTGCTTGTCAGCGACACTAGTCATGAACTTCACGTTCGTGGTTTCTGGACTCAACGCGTTTGCGGACTGGATGTTTGCGATTCTCCCGGTCCTGATCGTCAAGGATCTCCACATGAAGAAACGCATGAAAGTCATAGTCGCTTCCGTCATTGCTCTTGCCGCAGTGTAAGTGTTTCGCGAGCCGCATAATAATGTCTCTAACAAATCGATAGTGGTTCGACAGCAACGATCATCCGTCTCCCGTACACGACCTCATTGAAGGGATACAAGGGCGACTTCCTCTACCGAACAACCGATTTTGCGATCTGGAGCACAGTAGAGGTGGGATTGGGCATAACAGCTGGTTCTATCGCGACACTGAGGCCTCTCATGAAGCAGGCTCTCGAGATCACTCGCTCGGCCTCAGCTTTACCCTGGAGTAAGCCTTCGCTGAACTCCGGCCCGCTGCAGTCGGGAACCCAACTGGGCACGCTCAAGCCTTCGATAAAGAAGTCGATCACAATCACTACCTCCAGGGCACGGAGAGAGAGCGCCAGCTCTGACGAGGAGATAATACTGGGCAGAAGCCAGCCATCGGAAGCATGGCAGCAGCAGCAGGGACTGCCTGGCTACGTTACGTCTACCGTTCTAGATGAACGTGAGAAGCGACAAATATCAGAGAAGAGTCGCCAACATAAGACAGAACGTGAAAGAAGAGGCAGTCCTGGAGGGGCCAGCGACTCCACTCTCGACAGCAAATCGACTGGAAAGGCCGCAAAGGTCCATGAGCGTTTTTGATTAGAAGTTTCCATTTGAAGCACTGCACGATACCCCATAGTAACAGAATTCTGCATCAATACACATGTCTCCGTATCTATGCCCCCATGCTACCCAACAGCGCTGGTACTACGTTCAATGTTCAAACACCGGCACGTTCATTAAAACATGTACATTTGTGCATCCAACCTGACTATCCACTCTCGGTCTAGATAGACTTCTGCCCGGTAACCACCGGCACCTAACACCTCACTTTCAAAGCCGACAACCGAAATTCATCGCGAGGAGACTCATCAGGTGCTAGCGCAAAAGCCAGAACGAGCTCACCCCGACTTTGACCAATTCCAGCCTCCACGATATCTTCCACTGCCTGCCCGCGCGGATCATATAGATCATCTAGATCACATCCGTAACCCCCTTCGCCGCTCACCGCTCCTGGCCCATCTCATCTCCCCTTTCATCCCCATCCCGCTTTCGTGCCATGCCCAGTAACGATCCACGCTGACCGTCGATCACCTAGCCTTGTCTTCCGCTGTATCAGTAACACGGAATAGGCGATCAACACCGTTCATGTAAATAAAGTTGCTGTCGAAAAACGCTCCAGCGCGATTGATTAGTCGATCCAGGAGGTCGGGGCATCAAGGGAATGTCTGATTCCGAACTTTCACATTGTCTGTGATTGCGATGGAAGAACCCGTGGTGGTGAGCCTCAAGACTGGGCTGAACGACGATTGTATGTATATCGCGTGAGTCTAGCTAACTACTTGAGCACAGAGCTATCGCGATCATCCCGCATATCGAGGTACAACTCCGATAATCAGCCCGAACCGAGGTAGTCAAGTCAAAGGTGCTTGATCTGCTACGTTCAGCTATGCATCTGAGCCGTGATTGTATAGCTGACATCTTGCTTACAAACGTCACGGGTCCTTCCGCACAACGGCGCGTGAAACGGGCTAGCAAACTGCTGGCCTGGCAAAGGTCCGACTACACGATGACCGCGGCAGAAACTGCAGCAACCGACCATAAGCACTTGAACCCATAATCACGGCCTTTGTTCCTGAAACAGATGCTCTGTCTGCCCAGGCATGTACATAGTCAATCCGCATCGCCCCACACCGAGACCTCTTCCCGCTCATGTCCCTCACCATGAGCGACCTTCCCAATATTCTCTTGCATTGATCTCAAATTCCCAATTATATTACATTATCAGGTGTATCGACGCTGCCGCCGCAACTACCTAGCCTATATTTACAACCGACTACCACAATATATCTGAGAACGCAGTCCTGAGCACTTCCGTCCTCGTCTTCTGCATCTCCGGTGCGATGCCGACCAGATCCAAAATATCGAGACACTTCCGCGCATCTTCCTTCGCTTCCTTGAGCAAGGGGTCTGCTGAGGGGGGCAAGCCGTTGTGACTGGGTGAAAGTGGTTGCGCTTGCTGGCCGAGGATTCGAGCCATGAGGAGCTAGGAGACATGTCAGTAACCTGGTAATCATACCCAAAGATTCCAACCTACGGCTTCCTCAAACGCGCGGTGTTGGAACACCCACCACACACTGGCATCGATCCTAAGGTACTCCCAGAAATGGAAGAAAGACTGTAACGCCATCCTAGCCGCGTCCAGCGCGCCTTTGACGTCGCATGGTACACCCTCGGCCGGGTTCTCATCCGCCTGTATGGCCATGACGCAATGCCAGAAGTTGCTTCGGAAGAACAAGTTCTGTCGTAACCCGCGTGGGTTTGTTTCTGCCATACTACGTATAGTGGCTTCGTCAGATGCCGTAAGATCTGCTGGGAAGCTCTTATGCAGCGCAAAGTATTCGTTTACCAGCTCGGCCTTATGCGATAATGAGGTTGTCAAGGGCGTTGCCAACGAACGTGGGATGCAGACAGTGCGGGATACAAGATTGGCCATGTGCCACATCGAGCGGATGTATCTTCGATCTGACAACTCGTAGGAAGGATAGAGATCATGGTTCGAGGCGATGTTGCTGATGCTCATAGGATTGATGACGGGGTCTGTCGTGCCGTTGTTTGAAGAACCGTTCGGGATGTATTCATCAAGGTCATCGCTCAGGGATTCTGGCTGTATGTCTGAGAACACACTGGTCGGTGGGAGTTTTAGTAAAACAGTAAGAAAGGTGTCCTGAAAATAGATGGCTTGCCAGAGCTTCCGCCGTTGCTGTTTGTCACTCAGTGAACACCGAGGCGCGATGATGTCTGGGTCGCGATGTAATCCCATGGCGTATGCTTGCCGTACTAGAACTCCACCAAAAGCCCATGCATCAGAGGCATGATTGTCGTTCATCAAAAAGTATCCTATCAGAACCATGGCCTGCAGTGTTCTGACCGAAGCTCGACTGAGGTACGAAGATATTCGCAATGCCTGCTGAGCAGCTGATATGTAGAACTCGGCAATCTTCGCTCGCTCAGCATTGTCAGTGGTACGGATGAACTGCGTACCCATAGCGTACACAACAAAGTGAAGAGCAACCAGCACGGGATCTGCTGCATGTTTCTCCTCTAATGGTAGCGACCAGAACCGTTGGTAATCGGCATAGAAGTTCCTGCGATGTACCATGGGGTATACTGGGTCGACAGCATCAAAGTACTTGTCTACCAAAATGTCTGCCTGCTCTTTAGCTGGCAACACGCCGACAACTTCGGCGAGACCGCCGCGACTCGTCCAGTAGTTAGCAAAGGGATGCTCAGAACCCAGACCAAAGAATGGCGCGGGCGTGTGGTTAGAGTAGGGTATGTTTGATAACAAGAATGGCGAGGACCCTGACGATGACAAGGACACGCTACGATATTGTGCTCTGACTGGCGTTGGTGGTACCTGGATGTGGGCCTGTCAAACGAGTCAGAGAACCGCTAGAACGATGCTTTTCACGACATTTTCACTGATGATGAAGTAATGCCAAAGATGGGCTCGGAATATTTGACGGCCACGAAACTCGTCAGGTCTTGACCCAACACGTTCGGCCGGTTCCTCAAAGCCCCACAATCGCCAACAGCCACCGGCGCCCGAAGGGTTGGGCCGACATGCGTTCGCAGGAGGTTCGCAACGATATGACAGGTACAAGGGGTGTGTATTACCTGAACGGGCTTGTTGCCATGTGGGTGCGGGTCACTGCCAAGGTGCAACGAAGGCCTCGCGCTCGTTTTTCTGGAGCGTCCCGCAGTGCGACCGGCGCCAACCCTGTGCAAAGGCTCAGCAGATGCGAGTCCAGGGATGCCATGGGAACTTACTTGTCTGTGGAAGTCGCGATCAGGTTGGCAATGTCGGAGTATTTGCATGTTGACTGTCGCTTGATGCAGGCCAAGCAATGAGGACGAGTGCGGTCACACTGCGTCGGTTCAGTCTCGGGCAGCCATTGCGCCAGCGCGCTGCACTCACTTTGGTTTTGCGCTCGACACACTCCTCGCAGCTCAGCGTCGGCTTGTTGCGCTTTTGCTTCTTCTTGGGTGGCGCATCGCCGTGGGTGCCTGTCGCGCTGGTGGTGGACGGATCCGGACTCGTCGAGGGCTGCGTGCCTTCGTCATCCATTGTGCAGCGCGTGCGGCGATCGGGCAGCGCGTGAGCTTGGTCCGAGTGCTTGACAGCGACGGGCAAATGCGAGGATCCAAGCGGCAGCAGTGGGCACAACGTTGGCGGGAATAAAAGTGAGGGTTGAAGTATTTCCGCGCTGGAGCTGACGCGCCCCAGAAAAGGCCACCGAGGTTGCGTGGGGACGCTGTGGAGTTGATACCAGCCACTGCTGCTTGGCACGATTGAGACGGGGCCTAGAACTCACCACTAGAGACGACGTCAGTTGGCCTAGTTCACGTCAATTTAGGCTATGGATCATCCTGCGCGTAGATGCGATAGCCAGCCATGACAGCAGGTGATGCAGGCGCGTGTAGATGGGTGGCATGTCATCTCCAGATCTGAAAGGCTCCAAAACAACACCACACATGCACTGAGACGACAACTCTACATGTTTTGTTTGGAAAGGCACACAAATCGCGCTGTTGATATCATGTCCCACTAGTCGCAGTGCATGCCTAGCTGACGTCGAAGATTCAAAGGCGTCCAGCGTCGGCTTTTGCGCTATTCCCGAAGCGCCGGCAGTACTAAATCTACCGGCCAGGAACGCTCATGACAGCATCATGATATTTGTCAGCGACGTCTGCGCCTTCCACATCTAGGAGTACTGTCACTTTGGAAGGAAGCCTGCACACTTGTCATGAACCTCGAAGAACTAAATGACGTTGCAATAATATACTTGAGAGGAGACGTATAAACAAAAGGAACAACCCGCTCAATGACCTGTCGGCATCCGTCACATCCTAGCGAAAGCGAAAGATATCTCAAAAAGGCAACCTCAGTCCGTCCGGTGAAAGAGACCGCCTTAGGTATACATCCTCTTCGCATCACGATAACCCCCACCACCGCGCATATCATCCTCGAAAGCCTCCGCGACCTCAAGCACACGCTTGACCTGCTCCATACTAAAGACCGACTTCTCCGCAAGCGCAATCGACTGCGACGTCTTGACCGTGTTTTTGATCTGCAGGAATTGTTAACTGACATGCACGCACACCACCGCAACAACAACAAAACATACCTGTCTCCCATTCATACTCCTCTTACTCAACTCATCAAAGTCCACCTCGGTAAACGGCTTCATCTGCTTCCCTCCCTTATCTTCTTTCGCTTCTTTCGCAGTACCCTCCTCATCACTATCTTTATCCTTGCCCTTCTTCCTCTCGGCCTCAGCATCACGACCCATCTGCTCCACCTTGCTAATATGGTGCTGCCAGATCTTCTTCCTCGCCTTGGCTTCCAGGTTGTCGTATCGGATACCCATGTGGATCCTGCTCTGGAACGCTTCATCGAAGGTTTCCACGCGGTTTGTTGTGAGGAAGAGAATGCCTTGGTAGTACTCCGTTAGACGCAAGAACACAGATACAAGACTATTACGATGAATGTCGTGGGGTTGGCGCGCCTCGAGAAACACGTCTGCTTCGTCGAGGAGGAGGATGGCGCCCCAGGAATGCGTTATGTCCATTATGCGGTTGAGATCGGTCTCGAGTGAGCGGCTGTTGGTGCCTAGTTCGCCTGCCGAGACGGCGTAGAGTGGGCATTTGAGGTACTCGGCGATGGATTCGCCGGTCAGCGTTTTCCCTACACCGGGAGGGCCGTGGAGAACGACGTTGAGGCCTTTGCCTTTGCCTTGGATGACGTCGTCGATGGTCTTTGCGGCGTTGAAGCGGTGCGAAGAGACGAGGCCTTTGAGGTTCTGCTTGATGCGGCTGGGCAGGACGAGGCTGGAGAAGGCTTCGTCGTTCCACTTGATGTCGTCGATGCCGGCGAGCGAGAATTCGAGCCAGAGTTTCTCCGAGAAGGCGAAACCGAGGACGACTGGAGAGGCGATGAGGAGCTCTTCTTCGGTGAAGCACTGCTGCTTGTTTTCTGAGCCATCTTCGTCAGTCTCGACTTGCTTGTCGGGACTGTCGCCCTTTTCCTTGTCGATGACGCTTTGTGGCACACGGATGGGATGCTTCTTGCCCTTCTTGTCCTTCCACATGACGATACGCATCTTGTCTTTCTCCTCATCTTCCTCCTCGTCGCCTGATCCACAGCAGCAGTCGTCACTATCGTCATCGTCATCGTCGTTTTCCTCGTTCTGTGCAAGCTCGTCTTGTTTGAGGTACGAGAGCGGATAGTTGGGATTGATGCGGCGAAAGATGGCGGGATCGACCATGACACGACCATTGATGATGAAGCGGATGATGTTATTTTTGTGCTTCATGTACGCAATGCCCTTCTGGAGGCGGTAGTTCATGCCTTGGAGAGCGACGAACTTCTTGCCTCGATCGACGAGCTGCTTCTTGATGCTCTGCAAGATCGTTAGCTAATGCACGCTCGATCAACCGGTCAACGACTCACCTCAGGATCTTTGTGGTACTTCAACGGATAAGCTGAGAGACTAGTAATCTTCTTGTGGCCCTTGAAAGCCTGGATTGTGATCTGATGGTCTCCCAGGCCGAAAGACTTGCCGTCATACTCAAGATACTTGCCATCTACATACCAGGACTTGACCCCTGTCATCCAGCTCTCATACTCATACGCAGTCTCGACCTTGAAGCATCGCGGATCATCCTTATTGTGATACGTGGGAGTGAAGGCGATCGTGTTCGGCTTGAACAATGCCCAAACGAGGTCGTACGTGATCGTACCCGCTTTGAGCATGGGCCGGAGAGCCTTGCGCGTCGCAGTGTAATCCTCATCAATGTAACTCAGAAGTAGTTTGCATGATGCAATCTGCTGTTTGACACGCTTCTGCTCTTTCGACTTCTTTGCCTTCTTCAGCTTTGGCTTCAGCGTCTTCTTGATGTAGGTCTTCAATTCGTCGTAGTAGTGGAACAGTGTGTGGGGGTCAATCTGCGGTATGTCTTCCACCAGGCTGATGCTCTTGCAGTCCTTGAAAACTTCTTGGAGTGCGTTGCGAAGTAACTTGGATTTGATATCCAGTTGTGTCTCTTGATACTTGCCTTCCCAGTTGAGTCTCCTGCGCACGGTGAACACGCAGTCAAACTCGTCTTTTTGGTCGGCGTTACTCTCGACGAGTTTCCAATCGCGTATCTTCATGTCGAAAACCTGGTCGACGCGCTTGAACTCGAGGGCGTTCTTCTTGACTGGCTTATCAAGCTTCGTAGTGGATACGGCGGCAGCCGCAGCCGCAGCGTTGAGAGAAGCTTGTTGCGCCTTGAGACTGTTGAGCAGACCACTTACTTTGGTCACTTGTGTGTCAAGGGTATCTCCTGGCAACGGAGGCTCTAGCGGCGGGGTCGGCACAAGGAGATCATCCTCGGAAGACGATGTCATTGACGAAAATTCAGATAATTCAGCCTTCTTCGCTTTCTTTGCCTTCCGCTTGGCTTTCCCCTTTGCGCGTTTACGTCTCGATTTCTCGTCCTCGGAATCCGACTCGCTGTCGGATGAGCTCGAAGTGTTAGAGCTACTGTCGTCGCTAGAGCTGTCTAGCTTCTTGTTCTTCTTCTTTTTGGCTTTGGCTCGCAAGGCCTTCCGGCGGCTCTTCTTGTCATCTGCCTCTGAATCTGAGTCCGAACTTGAGTCGGAGGTATCAGCCGAACTCTCATCCTCGCTTGTTGAATCATGCTTTCTACTTTTGCTCTTCTTGCTCTTCGCCTTCGCCCGCTGCTTCTTCTTCGCTGCTGCTCGTTTCGCGACCAACTTCCGCCTCTTCTTACGCTTAGCCTTCTCGTCCTCACTACTCTCTTCCGACTCACTGTCGCTCTCAGAGCCACTATCATCCGATGTAGACGTCTCTTCTGCTTTACGCCTTGACTTCTTTGATGCGTGTTTCCCACGCCTGCTGACACTCTTCTTCTTCGCATCGACTAGCTCAGACTTGGGCACCTCAGTATGCTCGACGGAAACGGCTGCCTGCTTCTCATCGGTAGTCTGAGCTGTGTCGGTCACATGGGCTTCGACAGTCTCTTGTGAAGAATCCATCTTTGGCTCGTGCAGCGAGATGTCGTCCGGATCGGACTTCACGGAAGGGGTTGCAACAATGACAGGTGACGATGATGAGGTGTCGGAAAGCTTTTTGCTAGCTTTGGCAGGTAAGGAAGGTTTGGTGGAAGAAGTCTTCGAATTGTCCGGTCCGTTCATGGGTCGTAGACTTGCCAAGATGCGAGGCTGGCTCTCTCCTATTGCTTAACTGTTGAGTATGCTGCGGGAGACAAGGGCCAGGAAGAAGTCGTAACACGTAAACTTGGGGTCCGAGTCGTTCAGGAGATGTAGCAATTGCAGATGAAACAGTCTCAAGGCTGAGACAAGAGGAGGACCTAGGTCTCACACCCTTTTAACCACCGACAGAGCCGCAAGGTGAAGTCTAACCTCACTCTGTCTCTTTTCCCGACCCACACCTTTCTCTAATCAGATCTCTCGCCCACACAACACACTACTAGGCTGCAGTCTTGTATTACCGTCCTCGGTTACCCCGCAGTACCTAATCCTGGATCTGGCAAATGGCGAGCTCTGAATAGCGAACTCCGACAAGGCTGAACTTGTTGGGAGCCAGCGTGCTCAACTAGATCGTCTTATCACCATATCAGTACAGGGTGGTGGTGGTGGAGTGGAGGCCGCACATACCTAATGAACCTCTTCAGCCGAATCTGCTGCCTAGCCACGACCTTCCTGTAGGAGCAACGTTTCGTCGATGTATTGGCCTGAGCAGGCTACTCTGCATGTAAAGGCTGGTAAAAAGGCGATGTCGTGATGACCGGTGAGGAGGTAACCAATGTCAAGGCAGAGCGTAGCTCAGCCTCGTCTGACAATGCCTTCAGCCTTGCAGGAGTGTGGACGCGCTCGCTTTCGCCGGTCCCAATCAATCTTTCATGGTTTATCTGCACCTCTCTTTCTCGAGAGCATGTATACGGATCACAGAACTCGGCCGTCGACTGCGTGACGATTCTTATACCTGCGGACTGGTTCGGTGGCGCTGCGGCTGTCTCTACATCACACTTCCCTGCGTT